TGATGACTTACTGAGTATGCAGTTTGTTAATTTTTTTTAAACCTTGCCTAGTTTACGTTGATGCACTGCCCCAGGTTTCCTTTTTCATGGTAGTTCCTTTCTCTTGCAGCGTCCTATGGAGCCACCCTTGCATACAAAGACTAGAGTTATGTCTCTCTACACTGTGTGCATCAATAGAATCAAACAGACCCATAGCCTAGAATGGCAAGGCACTGCCCTGCTCTTCCCTCCTCCTCCCCCCCCCCCCCCTCCTTTCTTCAGTCTAACAGACTGACTTGAGACTGTACTGTCCACTGTTAAAGTGTTTGTAAACCATCTTTTTTTTTTTTTTAAATAAACATGACATACTTATCTGCAACCCCAATCCTCCTCTTCTGGGGTCCCTCATCAGCACTCTTCAGTAAGTGCCCCTATAGGAAGCTGTGTTTTCTATGGGGGCACTTGTGTGGGCTTGATCCTGAGCCGTGCTGCCTGCGTCTATAGACTCAGATAGCTGGGCTCTGCCCCACTCCCTCATCACAGGATTTGATTCACAGCAGCAGAAGCCAAGATCCTACTGCTATCAGTCTGCCATGTGAGGAGGAATATAGTGGAGAGAGCCGCTGCTCTCGGGCACAGCACTGGATCAAGATTTGGCTCAGGAGAGTATGAGGTGGAGGAGGGGGGGCTGAGGGGAAACTGTGGCATAGCAGATTTTTTTACCTTAACCCCCCTGGCGGTATTCCCGAGTGTAGCTCGGGGTTAACTTTCAGTACCAAAAGTGGTAACCCCGAGCTACACTCAAGATTACACTGCAACATTACTCAGGGATCCCTCCAGCACTTACCTTGTCCTGTGGTCCCGCGATGTTCCCCCTGCAGTGTTCCCGGCCATGTCCTCCGGGCCGACGCCAGCATCCGTCTTCTGGGTTACGTTTGCTGAGAGTGGTGTCAGTACGTACGGGGGGCGGAACCAGCGGGAATTTAAAACATGTAAAAATTTGACATTCACTTAATACACTAAAATCACATAGTATAACATTACTGTATCAAACCATTTCACATACATTTTGTCCTGAGTGCTTTGTCCTGTGCCCTGCCTGCATTTTTACTGTTCTTTCTGCCTGGAAACTGAGAAACATCCATGGCATCCAAAAAGCATCCCTTTAGGTCAAAATCGGTTTTAGACCAGCTAGAGAACAGCGATAGTAAATTAGAACCACTTGCAAAATTGAGTGATAATGATTCGTGGGGAAATTCGTCATCAGACACTGAAAACGATTTTGCGACTTTGCTCAGTGATGTGCGAACTTGGCGCTATATTTCAAATTTCAGTGTTTTTTGTTTGATTACATTACTGAATTAAATGTATTATTATTATATTTTTTTTTTATGATTATTTATTATATTATAATTTATGATTTCGTGTTTCAAATTTTATCATACCCGGGATGTTTACTAGACTCTTGTTCGGACAGATTTCAGTGAGTTATTCCTAAGAATTACAGGCCTACAATAAAAAAACAACATATTTCCATTGAAAACACTGTACCGCTTTGAGCACAGAAATACTGACATAATCAGACCGCCAGGGAGGTTAATGTAGAGAGTGCATTAGGAAAAAAAACCTTAAGCCTTTAGAACCAATTTAAGCCATTTTTGTGAAAACTGAAAGTTTAGGGAAGCAGCACTGAAAGAGCAAGAGGCAGCAGCATTGAAAGTTGTAAATGGCAAGTATGTGAGTAAGGATTTTACCAGTTTACTGGGGAGTGTTTATTTTATTGTGTTTAATGTGTTGAATTAAAAAAAATGTGAGGGTATTAAAAGAGGTATAGACTCCAGAGAGAGAGATATCATTCTACCCCTGTACAAATCATTAGTAACACCTCATCTGGAATATGCAGTTCAGTTTTGGGCACCAATTCACAAAAAGAACATTGGGGAACTGGAGAAAGTACAGAGAAGGGCAACCAAACTAATAAGAGGCATGGAGGAGCTCAGCTATGAGGAAAGATTAGAGGAACTGAATTTATTCTCTCTTGAGAAGAGGAGATTAAGGGGGGATATGATCAACATGTATAAATACATCAGTGGTTCATATAGTGAACTCAGTGTAGAGCTATTTACCCTGAGGTCATCACAGAGGACAAGGGGGCACTCTTTACGTCTGGAGGAAATAAAATGTAATCTCCAAACACTGAAATGTTTCTTCACAGTAAGAGCTGTGAAAATGTGGAATAGACTCCCTCAAGAGTTGGTTCTGGCCAGTTTAGTGGATTGTTTTAAAAAAAGGTCTGGATTATTTCTTAGATACACAGAATATAACTGGATACTAACATTTATAGGTAACGTTGATCCAGGGAATATCCGATTGCCTCTCGGGGGATCAGGAAGGAATATTTTTTCCCATGCAGGAGCAAATTGGATCGTGCTTTGCTGGGTTTTTTGCCTTCCTCTGGTTCAATTGTTTGTATAGGATTATAACTTTTTTTTTGGTTAAACTGGATGGACTTTTGTCTTTTTTCAGTCAAACTAACTATGTAACTATGTAAGATAGCATGATTTCAGTATGTTTTCTGCACGTCTTTGCTTTGTTGCTTATCTCCCATCCCTGGTCCATGCCAGGAGTGAGAGACAGAGAGAAAGACAGACAGAGAGAGACTGACTGAGAATGCTGCCAAATTGCATCAAAATCGCACCTGAATAGCTGAACAACTACCTTTTGAAATCGCACTGAAACCAGAAGGAAAATCATACCACATCCATGTGAATCAAGCCTGAATGTTCTCTTAGTTTTCTTCTGTAAAAGCTTAAAGTGGAACTGAACTGTATCTGAGCACCATGAACTGAAAATGCTATTCAATTAATTTTTTATGTTGAAAACAAATTCACCCATCCATCCATGTCTCCATGCTTTGTTTTGTTAGGAGATCGCTTTGAAAAACCCCCCTAGCATTTCTAGTTGCTTCCATCTTGAGTAAGGGCAGATGTTTCATGTAGCATTTAATTCCTGGAATCCATCTGCCCTTAGGTCAGGCACGCAGGCCCCCAGAGGAAAGAAGAAAAAATACTCATGAAGACTCATGTGATGCATGATATAATTTTGGCCTAGGCTAGAAACCAGGAAGCAACTGAAGAAATGTAAAACAAATTTAAAACAAGTAAATATTATTCAGGATTTATATAGCACCAACAATTTGTACAGGGCTTTAAAATATAAAGGGAGACAGTACTTTAACAATACAGTGAATGAATAGGAGCTCATGGAGCTTATAACCCAAAGGGAGGGGGAGGTGGTACAAAAGGTAATACTGTAGCTGTGGGGAACAATTTGATTGCTGGTGGCCGAAGTACAGTTTTTAGGCAGTGGTTGGGTAGGTTACCCTGAATAAATGAGTTTTCAAGAATCACCTAAAGTAGGAGCTAAACAGATAAACTGAAGGGGGGGGGGGGTATTCTAGAGGATGGGAGAAGTTCTGGAGAAATCCTGGGGGCGAGTGTGGGAGGAAATAACAAAGGAATTAGAGAGCAAGATGTCTTGGGAGGCGTGGAGAAGACTATTTGGGCAATATCTTCAGAGGAAGATGGTGATCTAGCTGGGGGCAGTGTTGTGGATAGCTTTGTATGTTGTGGCTTGCATTTTGAATTTTATATGTTGGACTAGGGAAAGCCGGTGAAGGTATTGTCAGAAAGGGGCAGCAGTCATGGATAGCTTAGTAAGGCGTGTAAGTCTAGCAGCAGATAGACTGAAGGGGGGAAAGCCTGTGTAAAGGTAGACCAGTGAGGAGAGAGTTGCAGTAGTCAAGGCAGGAGATGACCAGGGAGTGAATAAGTTGTTTGTAGTGTTTTTAGTCAGGAAGGGGCCAATTCTGGAAATGTTGTGGAGATTAAAGCAGCAACATTTAGCCAGTGATAGGATGTGGGACTGGAAGTAGAGGTCAGAGTCTAGGATTACACCTAGCACCCTGACATGTGTGGAGGGACCAATGATTGTGCTATTGATCCCAATAGTAAAATCATGATGGGGATATCGGGGAGGAGAAAATATTACAAGCTCAGTTTTAGACAGATTGAGTTTGAGGAAAGGGCGCAACATCCATACCAAAATGTCACTCTAAATTTGTGATACGTGAAGAGATTGAGGAGGTGGGCTGGGGAGTAGAGAGATAGATTTGGGTATCATTGGGGCACTGGTGGTACTGGAAGGTGTGGGAGGTTATCAAGTGGCCCTAGGGAGAGGTGTAGAGAGAGAATAGGGGGGGGCAAGAACAGAGCCTTGGGGTATCCTAACAAAAAAAGGAAGAGGAGAAGAGGAGTTAGAGTTGTATGTGACACTGAACGAGTGCTGAGATAGGTAGAAGGAGAACCAGGAAAGAGCCGATTTACTGAGGCCAAGGAAGTGGAGTTAACTGAAGGGGAGTGAGTGGGCAACTATGTCAAAGGCAGCAGAAAGGTCTAACAGTATGAGTATGAAGTAATGCCCGTTGGTTTTAGAAGTTAGTAAGTAATTAGTGGGTTTTGGTAGGGCAGTTTCAGTGGAATGTGGCAGGCGGAAGGCAGACTATAGGGGGTTGTGAAGGTTCTTATTAGTAAAGAAGCAACACATACGGTTGTGGAAAAGGCGTTCAAGAAGTTTGGAGGCAAACAGAAACAGAGGGATGGGTCTTAAATTGTTCAAAATATAAAATACCTTCCTATCTATTTACTAAGGATAGCAGATAAGGAGTAAAATAGTTTGATGGTTGAGAGAGTTTAGCTCTGCTTTAATGCTATGCCTTACAGCCAGATCCTGCAGACTTTTTACAGCGTTACCAACTGTCACATGATGACGTGTAACTGCCCTCTTATACTACAGTGCGTGTGGGTGAGGACTGCATGTTGTACCTGTTTAAATTATTTTGCTAATTATGTCATTATCTATAAGATTGAAACAGCTATTTACTGTTGCTTTGTATGTGATTTTTGTAAATTGAAATGCAGCAATTGATCAGTATACATGGTGTCTTTGCTATTTTGCAGAGGATGTGCCTGCAGGCCCAGGGCAAACTTTGCCGGTCAGTATGGAAAGGCTTGGTCTTGGGAACCCTCTTCACCAGTTTTTTGATTCTGTTGTACTCCTATGCATCTCCACCTCTAAGTCTTAGCAGCACAGAGTGAGTCATCTACTATTATAACTGCCAGTTTACATTTATTTGCTTAAATCATGTATGACTTATATTTTTTTGTTCGCCATTAAAGTCTAAGTTTAACTAAAACAAAAAAATAAAAAATCAGCACAAGGGGACATTACATACCATCAGTGAGACGTGTCCCTTGGGCTGCTGTGTCCTCCTTTTACCAAAATGTCTCCTTCAATGACCCCCACTCCTCAGTGTGTTTGGGGGTAATAAAACTAAGGGGCTGTGACAGGGACTCATAAAGAAATCCTGACTGTGCCCACCCGTTCTGTCTAACTCCTCCAATCTTAAAAGCCATTACCAGGGTCGCTAATAAGGGGGTACCACCGGGCCTCCTGTAGGGTCACTTTGACGGATGGCGTGTTCAAGCTTCATGTAGGATCATATGTTTGTACAGTCAGTGTATACATACTGTTCCTATGTGTACATGGCTCCCGGTGGTAACATATTCCCTGGACTGAAGGGGGCCCCCATCAGTTCAACCAGAGGACTGGGGCCGGGAAACTATAGATCAAGAGGGACTTATTTTTCTTTTTCGGGCACCTGCGGACTTACACTATACTGTACCAGCTGCATTTGATGAGATAGAAGTCTTGCACACTGCCTGACTCCTTCAGCAAGAAAGTGCTGAAGGAATCAGCCAAAAGAAGAGTGGTGGCAGATTGGCAGGCTCGAGGCAGCTGGATGGAACTGAAAGTGATCAGTGTAGGCAGAGGCAGCAGAGTCCATGTGATGTCCATCCGATGTCCATCCACTTAGCTCAGTAGCCAGTCCAGCAGTGCACACAGAGGGATCTCTAGCAGCGGCAAAAATCACAGGAAAGGTAAAGTGATGACAGCACAAACACACACACACACCTTCCCCCATGCCCTGAACGCTGCATGTGTTCAGCTATACAGCAGGGAACAGCCAAATGTGATCATCATTATTATCATGATGATTGTCACACAGTAAAGGTGAGCCACAGCACCTTTACTGTGTGATTATCACCATGATGATAATGATGAAATGCATCCTAAAAGTCGTTGTAAAGGTTGAAGGTTTTTTACTTTCATGCATTCTATGCATGAAGATAAAAAAGCTTCTGTGTGCAGCAGGCCCCCCTAATACTTACCTGAGCCCCATCACAAACCAGTGATGTACACATAATACCACTTTAAGTCAGCCATAGATGGTTCCCTGCTGAACCTGCCAAGATTCAAACCACCATGGGCAGGCTGATTGTAACCAAGTCAATTGTTGTATGACTTGGGTACAACCAGCATGTAGGATTTAACATGCAATTATTGCTAGTGGCTATTTACCAGTAATCACTGTGTTCTCCCAGCTCAAACAGTTTCCCCCCTGTCCCCCCACCAGGAGAACACAATAACTTCACAGGAGGGATCACCATCAACACTTTTTCTTTCCAATTTTCCTTCCTGCAAAAAAGAAAGTCTGTCCAGTGATCCCCCTGATGACCAGTCCATGTCCACTCTGTTTATGTAGAGCGGACGTGGACAGAGCCCACTCTGCTGTATTGGTGGTCAGGTGTTTGGACTCCACTGCCTGTTTATACCCAACTACCCTACCATCTTTCTAGACAGAGGAGGACAGATCCTCTTCCATTGTTTTTAGTGGACCAGATTGGAGGTAAGCTGTTTTTTAGACAGGTGGGTGGTGTTAGGGGCAGGGTTTTGGGAGCCTCGTCGGGTAGGCTGTAAGGGGTCTCGTGATTTCTAACAGTGGCCCTGGCCATTACTACTGGCTCTATGAATAAAACAGGATCTAGGAGTGGAGTGGGTGGACCTTTCATTCATCATCCATTCATAGATCATGTTTCATGCACACTTTAGGTCAAACACTGTATGCAATGGCTACTATTTGCCACTAAACTACTACTACCACTTCTACCATCTAAATTGCACAGAAGCAGAGTGATAACTGAGCAAGGCCTGACTTCTTACTAAAGTCCCAAATCTTTTAAATGTAATGTCAACCTGTGTAATAACTCACTTTCCGTAAACAGGCCTTTTGACAAATCCATTGTATCTCACTGGAATGTTGACATAGACACCATTAACATAGGCATCACATTGTTTCTATAGTGCCTACAGAATGCCAAGTTCAAAACATGAACTTAAATTGGACATAATGGAAATGTTAAGATGCTGCGCTAGCATAATGTAAAACCATAAGTAATGAATATTTTCTATTAAGTTGATTATTTAACTACTTTGGCTTAGAATATCAACAGCACAGCCACATCATTCATTCACAGAGATCTTGAACAAGTACAAGTCCCGCCTGCAGCTGCAGCAGTCACACTTGTAGTTCTCAATGGACTACAACTGCACTGATCAATGGGCTCATAATCCATTCACACTTTCTCCAGCTTTTAGACTGAAAACCTATAAAGAGGTAAGGCAGAAAGCTGGAGTAAGTGTCTGCAGGGGTCTGACTTTGCATATGCGATCCACTGATTGCAGGTGCAATGTTTTGCAGCCTGCTATCTAAAAAATATATATGCACATTTTGTAACCTCCAAGAACATGTTCATTTATTATTTTTTTTTTTTAGAAAGGTGGAGCTATCCTTTAACAGGTTGTACCTTTCCTTGTAACAACTCTTATGGAATCCCACACATATATCTTTTTGGCTGTGACCCATAGTACTTACGTTTCACCTGGCAATAATTTATGGGGAGGTATCAATGGCTTTTTCCATTCAAAGTAAATCTGTGTTGATAAAATAGTATTGTATTAAAGCAGCGCTAAATTCTCTCAATCAACATAACTACATGTAATCCTTATTTGGCCAGCATTAGTAAATATATGGGAAGGTAGGTTATATTTACTTGTTTAACCATTTTTTCCTGGTTTTCTGGTTTTGGCCAAGGCCAAATTGATGTCATGCATCCCAGGATACATCCTTTCATGGCAGTTTTTTTTTTTCATCCGTAGGAGGGGCTTTCTTAGGTAAGCATAACCTTCAACATGCCTGAACTAAGAGCAGATGGATTCTAGGAGGTAAATGCTACATGACTCATATGCCCCTACTCAAGATAGCTGTTGCTAGAAATGTTTTCAGTTGTGGTACTTAGATACAGTTTAATTCTGCTTTATTCACATGCAATATCAAACATTATTATTATTATACAGGATTTATATAGCGCCAACAGTTTGTGCAGTACTTTACAATATAAAGGGAGACAGTAGAGATATAATACAATAAAAACAAGAGGATTAAGAGGGCCCTGCTCATAAAAGCTTACAATCTAATAGGATAGTAACACTATCTAGTAGGGTGCAGTAAGTTCTCTTCTGAAGTGCTCGATGAGCCACTCTGAGCTAAAATAAAAGAAGTTTACAGTCCTTCCCTTTTTCATGGCCCCACACCCAGTTCCTGGTACACAACCGAGTCCTTCTTCCAAGTGTCATACAGGATACCACAGACTGAATACCAGCACTCCAAGGTATCCTCTAAAATCTCCTATATCAGAGATCCATTACTGGTTGCGCTTCTTCAGATGCTTTTTTAATAAAGGAAAATTTTGAGGATACCTTAGAGTGCGGGCATTTGTTCTTTTATAGCCACCCTGAACTCCTACCAGAAAACTGTAACTCTTGCTTATGCTACAAATGTGTAGTTAATCTGAAAAACAGACGTTTGGGTGGTCTTTTGTCAAATGTAGCTGACAATCAGTCAGAATTAGAGGAAACTAAAACTCGCATACTCCTGTCAGATATATCAGCCAGTTCCAACCTTGGTGCTGGGTCACTCATAAAAGCACACCAAGCAGATCCATATAGCCATGAAAATATTTCTCAGGACCACACACCGATATAGTGAATCATGAAATAAATCAACACAAAGTGGCTTCAGCTGGCTCGCCAGCCATCAGGAAAGCCCCTCTAACTTGGGCTCTCTAACTTGCGACTATGGTTAAGAGATCTATGATTAAGCCCTACATGGGTCAAACATGTAGGAGGTGCTTTCCTGATGGATAGAGAGCCAGCTGAAGCCATTTTGCATACATTTTTTTGTGATTCACTATATTGGTATGCGGTTCTGGGAAGCATTTGTAGCTTCAAGTTATGCTAAGCGTTAAACCACTGGTCATTTGACTAGTCATCTGAGGTGAGGAGAAGTATCCCCAAAGACTTTTTGGCTGTACCTCTTTTGGATCACAGGAGTGCAGTTCGTTCTGCACTACTGTGACCCATTTTCAGCCAACAGCGGGCTTCATGGGCTAAAGCCTGTTGTCGACTGATGTCACAGACTTGGTCCAGGCTCTGAAAAGATCCCGAGCATGTGGTCGGGATCCATCCAGAAGCCTGCACCGGCACCTGGCTCAGCCTCTCAGTGATCTGCTAAGAGCCTCCACAGCCCAGTGCTCCAGTTAGAACTGGAAAGGCAGAGCAGAGAGCTGTAGACTGAAAGTCATGGCTCTCTGCTTAGTATGGAGGAGGAGAACTGAGCAATCATCAGTGTTCGATCTCTCACTTCTCACTACAGGACCAGCAGGGACAGATGCAACAGTGAATCGATGCTGCATCCAACTAGGTGAGTATAATTTTTGTGTTGTTGTTGTTGAAAGTCCATATCTCTCTTTAAATGGAGACAATAGTGTGCCCCAGGAAATAAAATCAAGAGTGGCTTCCTTATGGTACAGCTTTTTGCTCACTGCAGACCTACAACACATGACAACCCCCCCCCCCCCCCACCAAGATTGTGGTCTTGCAGGGTTCAAAATATGTTCTTTAGCAAAGTGTTCTGACCCACTGTGGTCCTGCAAGGTTAAATTATGTTTTTTTACCAAAATGTTCTGACCCACTGTGCCAATGCCTTTCACCTAACTCTTTGTATGTGATAGCTTAATGAAAGTTTTATTTATGTTCCTCCACTGTTGGTGCTCCTGTATAGAGTACAGCATTGACAAACCAAGAGTGCATTGAACACAATTGTGCTTCTGTTTTTTTTTAAACACTTTTAAAAACAAAAACTAAAAATAGATATTTATAAAATAAGGAGCATGCCTCTCTTTGGTTTATATAATATGGTCTTTCAGGAAAGTATATAAACTGTGTTTGTTCTTTGCAGAAACCCTGTCTCCTTCCGTTGTCAGCCATCTTCAAATTCTGGCTCCTATCTACGAAAAGCCAATACTAGTTCTGGTTCTTCACAGCATTGTGTACCACGGCACAACCTTATGTTCCTGAAAACCCACAAAACAGGAAGTAGCACAATCCTTAACATTCTGTTCCGCTATGGAGAGAAGCACAATCTTCATTACGCTTTCCCCCGTGGACGCAATGACTTTGAGTATCCAAGCTTTTTTCAGCGTTGGCAGGTTGAGGGCTACCAGCCCGGTATGTGCTTTAATATCATCTGCAATCATATGCGCTACCGGCATTCCGAAGTGAGCCTTCTCATGCCTCAAGATACCACTTTTGTCACTGTTGTCCGTAATCCAGCTCTGCTTTTTGAATCCTCATTCCAGTACTTTGCTCGTGTGGTACCATTAACATGGTCTCTGCCAGGATCAGGGAGTGAGCAAAAGATGGATTCTTTTCTACGAAGTCCTCTGAGTTACTACGATTCCAGTGGATTTAATGCACACTACCTGCGTAATCTGCTGACCTTTGACCTGGGTTATGATAATGAAATTGATGTGGGAGATACTAAAGCGCAAAATCTGTTGGAGGAGCTTGATAAACGATTTCATTTGGTCATGCTCTTGGAATATTTTGATGAGTCACTATTGTTGTTGCGTGAATTGATGTGTTGGGAGATGGATGACATACTTTATTTTAAGCTAAATGCACGTAAAGATTCTGGTGGCTCACGTCTAAGCCCTGAGATATACCAGTTGGCACAGGAGTGGAATGCACTTGACTTACTAATTTATCAACATTTCAATACTACATTTTGGAACAAGGTAGAAAAATATGGAATGGAGAGGATGAAGAAGGATGTCATAGAACTGAAGAGGAGGAATGAAGAACTGAAGCAGGAATGTATTGCTGGAGGTGGCCCAGTAGATGCTAGTAAGATTAAAGAGTCTGGCCTGCAGCCATGGCAGCCTCTGGGGAAAACATTTATTCAAGGATATAATTTGAAAAAGAATATTCTTCCTCAACATAGGCAGCTCTGCAGAAGTATGCTGACTCCTGAAATACAGTACATGAGCCGTCTGGGAGCAGATCTATGGGTCACAAGACTATGGGGTAATATTAGGGCACTGCTGAACTGGTGACACTGATGTGGAAATTGAACGTGTACTAATGAGACTTTGCCAAAGAGAGATAAGAACAAGATGGTGTATAAAATAACAGTGGGCCATTAAACTGACTGATGAGATTGTGATATTGTTGGATTCTTTTTTTCAAGTATTTTTCTAGAATCAGTATTTTCAGAAAGATGTGTTTGTTGAACATTGCTGCCATGGACAGTATCCATACAGGGTATTTTTTGTAGAAATGAAACAATGAGAAAATCATTAACAATGTAGTGTTCTCCCCTGCATTCTGCCAGCAAGAGCTCTGTATTTACATGAATGGAAAGAAGACATGCAAAGCAAACAGCCGCAGGCAGTTTTGAATAGCACCTTTATGGGGAGAAACCCACTAGAATTATTCTTACTTTGTGATGAAGGGGTGGAAAGTGTATCTTTGGTAACATGTATGGTGCCCCTAGTTCTAAGATATCTCATTAAACTTAATTTATGATGTATAAAGCCCCATTGTCCTTTTCCCAGTTTTGTGAACGAATGTTTTGTTTCTATATTGAGGGCTTCTATCTGTGAGTCCAGAGCAGAATAATAAAACCAAACTTACAATATTGAGTTTATTCAGTGGACATGGTAAGGAACAAAGCATTAAAGTGAAGTGACCACCCAAAATTTCATTTTTCTGACGTTGGACCAGTACAAGATATATTCCAATTTTAATTGTCATGGCATTACATTATAATTGCACTTCCCTTGTGATCTGCCGCTGGTGTCAAAGCACATTTAAGGACACCCCAAACGCAGGTCACTAACAAAAGTACCATGCGATCCAGTTGCAGTGCTGTTGCAGGACAAATACTGAAACCTGTGTTACATGGGGATGTATACTGCTTTAAAAGTTCACCTCTAGAACATGTTACATGTTACACCTGTATTTAGGGTGGAACATGTAATATGTTCCAACTCCTGCTCCCCCCCTCCTTCCCCCCTCCATGTGACAGCAGGTGGGGGTTCTCCACCCCGCCCATGCTGTCACTTTTTAATAATTACTCTGCTGTGCAGGGTTCCACCCACACAGTCGCATCATACATTCACAAATTCCCGTGAATTAATAAACTACAAGTACCGTCTGCCACCGTGGTAGTTTCAGTGAGCTGATGAGTGCTCTCTTAGTCCTCTGGCTTTCAGAGAGCCTGTACAGAGGTATGGGCTGAAAGCTGGATGACGTCTGCAGGAGCCCACAATACACCCGTGATCTACTGGTTATAGGTGCAATGTTTTTCAGGTTCCTGCAGGTAAAAAAAAAAAAAAAATGCACATTTTTTTCTCCAAAAATATATGCCTTTATTATTTTTTCTGTAAAGGCAAACTTAGCCTTTAATAGAGAGAGTTTATCCTATCTAAACAGGAACTTCACAACACTGCGTGTTGGAGGAATCTATAATCCATCTATATTCCTAACTGCACATTCTTCATTATTACCACCACCAAAGGCAGTAGGCCTCATGCAGCATTACCTTGTGGTTAAACGATGAATGCTGAGATCAAGAGCGGACTGACAACTCATGGGGCCCCCGGGTAATAGGGGATCATGGGGCCCCTGTGTCCTTGCCCACACTCAAGGCACACCCAAAAAAAGCCTATAAAAAGGTACCAGGGGCATTTAATGGGGCCCCCTACTGACCCCAGGCCCTCGGACGGTGCCCGAGTGCGCGAATGGTCAGTCCGCCCCTGGCTTAGATCTATATCTCTCCCAGATAAACAGAAAACGAAAACATAATTTCTCTGTTTTTTGCAATAATGTAATGTAGCCAGAGACAATGAGCAATAAAAAAAAGTTTTACACAGTAACCGTATTAAAGCAGTATTAACCACTTGCCCTCCAGAGGATTTACCCCCCTTCCTGACCAGGCCATTTTTTGCGATACAGTGCTGCGGTATTTTAACTGACAATTGTGCGGTCATGCAACACTGTACATAAATTACATTTGTCTAATTTTTTTCCCCACAAATAGAGATTTCTTTTGGTGGTATTTGATCACCTCTGTTCTTTTTATTTTTTGTGCTATATAAACAAAAAAAGACCGATGATTTTGAAAAGAAAAACTATATTTTTCACTTTTTGCTATAAAACATATCCAATAAAAAAAGAAAAGAAAAAAGAAAGTTATAGCGTCTAAAAATGACGGTATATATATACTCTAATTTTTATTTTATTTTTTTACTAGTAATGGCGGTGATCGGTGACTTATAGCGGACTGCGGCAGCCATTCTGACACTGGGGGGAGCTGACATGGTGTCATATAAAGCACTGACACTATACTAACACACTGGGCCAGTGGTGTATTTAGGTTTTGTGCTGCCCTAGGCAACATTTCTCCTAGCAAATACCACCCCCCCCTTCCCAAAATCCACATTACACTTCCTAGAAAAAGTGGAGAGGAAAGAGCCAGGAGGAGGTGAGCTGTGTTGTGTTATCTGGGCTCTCCCTCCTGTTGTCCATCCAGCACATGATACCCGATCACTGATAGATCTTTGGGACTGTATACACACACAGCATGATTACCACCCCCAACCTCCTCTGGGGAGCAGGAAATGTGTCCAGGGGGTGGTAATCATACTGTGTGTGCAGTCACATGCGATCTATCAGTGATCATGTATCATGTGCTGGATGGACAACAGGAGGGAGAGCCCACAGAACACAACACAGCTCACCTCCTCCTGGCTCTTTCCTCTCCGCAACTTTTCCTCTCCCTGCTTTGTTTGCCTCGCGGTAGATACACCCCTGCACTGGGCAGGAAGGGGTTAACATCGGGGGAGATCAAAGGTTAAAAGTGTGCTGTGTGTTTTACTGTGTGCACTGTGTTGTGTTTTACTAGAGAGTCATGCTGTTTTGTATCTCTCTGCTGTGCCACCAAGTCAATTAAACTCCTGGGATATTGATCTGGTCAGTTAAGTAGCAGAGGGGGTTGTTAATCAGTTTCAGCTGCTTTGGTGTCAGTGAAATTAACAACAGGTGCACTAGATAGGCAACAATGAGATGACCCCCAAAATAGAAATGGATTTACAGGTGGAGGCCACTGACATTTTTTTTCCTACTCATCTTTTCTGACTGTTTTTCACTAGTTTTGCATTTGGTTAGGGTTAGTGTCACTACTTGTAGCATGAGGCGATACCTGGACCCTACAGAGGTTGCACAGGCAGTCCAACTCCTTCAGGATAGCACATCAATACGTGCCATTGCCAAAAGGTCTCAAGAGCATGGAGGAGATTCCAGTAGACAGGCAGTTACTCTAGGAGAGTTGGACAGGAGTATAGAAGGTCCTTAACCCATCAGCAGGACCGGTATCTGCTCCTTTGTGCAAGGAAGGACAGGATGAGCACTGCCAAAATTACCTCCAGCAGGCCCCTGGTGTGAATGTTTCTGATCAAACAATCAGAAACAGACTTCATGGGGGTGGCCTTAGGGTCCGACATCCTCTAGTGGGCCCTGTGCTCACTGCCCGGCACCATAGAGCTTGACTGGCATGTGCCATTGAACACCAGAATTGGTAGGTCCACCACTGGCGCCCTGTGCTTTTCACAGATGAGAGCAGGTTCACCCTGACAAATGTGAAAGGGCCTGGAGAAGCCGTGGAGAACTTTATGCTGCCTGTATCATTCATCATGACCGTTTTGGTGGTAAGTCAGTGATGGTCTGGGGAGGCATATCCATGAAGGGATGCACTGACCTCTACAGGCATGAAAATGACACCCTGACTGCCATTAGGTATCAGGATGAAATCCTTGGACCCACTGTCAGACCCTATGCTGGTTCAGTGGGTCCTGGGATCCTCCTGCTGCACGACAATGCCCGACCTGATGTGGTGAGAGCATGCAGGCAGTTCCTGATGAAGGAATTAATACCATTGAATGGCCCCCACGCTTGCCTGACCTCAATCCAATAGAACACCTCTGGGATATCATGTTTTGCTCCATCTGACCCTGCCAAGTTGCACCTCAGACTGTCCAGGAGCTCAGTGATGCCCTGGACCAGATCTGGGAGAAAATGCCCCAGGACACCATCCGTCGTCTCATTAGGAGCATACCTTGACATTGTCAGGCATGCATACAAGCACATGGCGGCTATACAAACTACTGAGTACCATTTTGAGTTGCTGAAATGAAATTTCAGCAAAATGGACTAGCCTGCTGCATCATTTTTTTCACTTTGATTTTCGGGGTGTCTTTGAATTCAGTCTCCTATAGGATGATAATTTTCATTTCCATCAAACGATGGGGCATCCTTATGTTCCTAACACATTACCCAGTTCATATCAGTATAGATATCCACCATTATATTTTTCCCCATTGAGAGCTGATGTGTTTTCAAGGTGTTCCTTTAATTTTTTTGAGCAGTGTATGACTAACCAATATATGGGGGAAAGCACTAATAAGAACTGTTAACAGAAGACAACAATCTTTTTTGTCCCTATACAAAATGAAGATCTTGGTCACCACATTGTTTCTCTTTTTTTATAATGGTACAATACAGCTGTAACATGGGGAGGTGAGGCTTATCACCAGCCTCTTGGGTTAATGTAGATTTGGGTTGGGGGAACCTATTAAAGTGCTGAATATGGTATCACTATTGTATATTGATAGTATCCCATACTGGTATTGTTGTGGCATTCTTGTGATCAGTACAGGGGTTTTGGATTGTAGGTTAATTAGAGCACAGAGACAGGACAAGGGAGAGATCAAAAAGTAAGCAATTAACTGTATTAATTTTTATGAAACTCCAGTTACTGATCATATATAGATATATAGATTAACCAGTCATAGATCATATATAAATATATATATATATATATATATATATATATATATAGTACTGTATGTCAACTATCTTTTTTAATAAAGTAAATAATGTACTATACAATGGGGTAAAATTTTGCAAAGAGTCAGCCACATTTTAAGGCCCCTTTCACACTGACAGGCCGATGGGGTCCACCTGTTAGTTTTTTAGGCGGACCCGATCGGACCAT